TAACATTTGTGGAAAATATTTTTATTGGTTTCAGATAGGCATTTATGATGACTACTCACGACAAAAAATTTGTGTTCATTCAAAGCCTCCTATAGTTTTTATGATGAAAGAAGTGTCTCCAACCGGAACGTCCGTAACGCAGGAAACACCCATATGTTAGTATTTGGCCGAGCTTCTCCTCCGATTTGTGGCGTGCGCCATGATGTTGTCACACAAAGTGGAGTGCCCTATAGTTTTACGCAGACTCCGAGCGGCGATTGCATTTTGATGAGAAGCTGTTTTCCATGGCAGAAATACACTCGGAGGTTTGCCATTGCCTGCCAAGGGGCGACCGCTGTTAAGAAAAAACTTTTTTTCTAAATTGTTTTGCGATATTGCAGTGACCAGGGCTTGAACCCAGGCGCTGCGGAGTGTAAGCGCGCAAAAAGTTGTAAAGCCAAATCTAATTTATGGTTAGTTTAGACGCCATATTTGAGACTCCATGTTGAATTTTTTCGAAAGGCCATATTTTTTTCAATTGGGGACATCTATATGATCATTTTAAGACCTTAATCCTTGTAATCCGTTCTATAATATTCCGGCCAACTTACTGTACCGGTTGATGTGATATGGAAATGAATTTTACGTCGCTTCCCTTACATCGCTATGTTGGCACGTTCCCGGTCGTGAGCTAAGCGTCGTACAAAAAAAAAAGTTCGATTAAAATATGTGGAGAATGAAATTCTCTACAACTTTGGAATTTCAATATGCGACGTATTTTCGAAAATCGTGGCAATATAAATTTTTTTCGAAGTGTTTGCTAATTAATCACAATAAAAAATGCGTTTATAAAAAAAACAAAAACTATATAACAAATGTGGGGAAATTAAATTCTCTACAAATTTGTATATAGCCATTTTTACGAAAAATTCAAAATAAGCTTGCAAATCGCAAAAAACCTAAAATCCAAGATGGCGAAATGTTGCCATATGAAATTTAGGGGCAAGACTGGATCTATGATCTACGTGTCCAATAGAAGTATTTGCAACAAAAAATCGCTGTTACGATTTTTTTCTTCGTACCAATTTGATCTAATTTTACTAGGCTAACCAGAAAAAAATAAAAATTCATTGGCCTCTAGCAAAATGAAAACTGTTGAATATAAGTGACATTTGTATGATAAAATGTAAAAAAAAAACAGTCAAAATTTTAAAAAGGTTACCTCACGTTATGTTACTACAATTTCCATTAAAAACATTTTTTTTAATATTGTTTTTGAACGAATTTTTACTTAGAAGTACATGTCGAATGTACTTTTTAATGTGACATCAGCGCCCCTAGAGGTTCCAATTTTGCATGCGTCTTCGCCTACAGAACAACACCAATAAAAAACATCCTGGCAGAAGCCTTACCTTCATTAGAAGATAGAATTAATCAAATACACGCAAGGTTGGTACTTAAACTAATTATCTCCTCAAATGCCATTATCGATAACGACGTCAATCTCTTGAGGCTTAGCAATAACACGACGTGAATCCCATCCGCATTATACTCAGCCCTCGACATCGCAACCTAACAAAAAACCCTCCTTGGACCATTAAGAAAGTATCCTGTGACCTCACTCTGTCTGCGCTCAGAAAAATTCACACTCCCGCTACGGTATTCCTTCAAAAGTATCATGAACGCCGTACATTTTACCAAGCAGACGAATGGGTACTCTGATTTACAGATGATTCCAAAACCAAGGATACGCCCGCCAGCTATGCTGTCGTTGACACAAAAGGCCTTATCTTAAGAATACACACACTCTCAGATATTTCGTTATCATTCATAGCAGAAGCTATTGCTATAAGTAACGCGAACTTCATGGCGTTGGAAACAGCCTTTAAATTGATTATCTGCTCCGACAGCCTATCGGCCCTTAATGCAGTTCAAAACCCAACTTCGAACTTAAGGACAGTGAACATAATAAAGAGACATGCTTATCGAAAATGACCAGAAAATAAGATTATTTTGGATGCCTGGATATATACGTATTCATGGTAACTATAACCACCATCACTACACTAACATAAACCGTGTACTCAAAACCCCAATTTATCCTACAACTATTTCGAAAGTGCACATTCTAATGTTTTTGCGCCTCCGTCTTGGTCACACGCATTGCTCCCACGAACACCTTATATTGGGTAACCCAACACAATCATGCCCGCGCTGCCAAATGGACTTAACTTTAAAACACATATTTCTTCAAAAATAACTAAAAGCACGAGCACACTTTAAAGTTAAACATCCTAATAACAAAATAATGAAAATATGAAAATATGAAAATATGGCTGTCAAACTATCAAATTTCTGGCAATAGATGTCAAGCAATAAGCGCTCACATATATTGCAGCCCATGAGAAATAGGCGGCCTCCATTGGAAATATACTTTGTGACATGGTTATCACGACATCGGTGTTTTCCTGTGGAGACAGGGCCTTACATTTTCAAGGGGGAGATTTCGCTTACGAAGAAGATCGCAAGACTAAGCCGAAGAGCTGTGCCGAAGCTCGAAATGTAAGCATTGCAATTGCTTATAAAGGGTCCATTATGGATTGCAACGCAATCCGAATTGGGTTGCCGATGGTCAACGCCACTGAAATGAAAGTCTGTATTATGAATAGCAACTATAGTTAAGTGCTATAAAGTTGAAGATAATGGAATTTTAAAGTACCAGCAACCAAAACTTTAGTGTAAATAAGCTGAAGAAACAGTTGAAAAAATAAATACCCCAATGAAAGTTTCGCTGCAACCACAAAAATGCAGTTGCCAATATAGCAACTCTGTTGCCAGATTTCAGTTGCCAGTTGCCATCTGTAATACTATTTAGCCACTGGAAACCCAACTGAAGTTCGGTTGCCATCCGTAATCGACCCGTAAGAAAGACGAATTTAATTTGTTGTTGTTGTTGTTGTTGTTGTTGTAGCGGCTACTAAACCCCGCTCGGGTCGGATTGGCCTTCAACGTTGAAATTGGATGACAAAATTCTAAAACGTTTTTGTTTGGGTAGAAACTTTTTTAAAATAAGATACCTCAACCGAAAAATAAAGGAGTTGAAAAATTTAAATGTCAGCAAAAAAATTTAGAAAATTGCAACCTAGAATAATGGTTTGTTACATGTTATGTAAATTTGTATATTTTGTTTAAAATAAAATGCCTAACCAAACATATCATTATTTATTAACATCTAAAGTTTTTTGATAAACAATTGTATGTATACTGGATTTTATTTTACTTTCTCATCTCTGCACATGGATCTTTTAGGCGCTTGAGAAAAATGAATTTACATTTATTTATGGATCACATCAACTTGCTGTTTTTTATGTAAATTTTACTATTGTATTAAATTCCAAATATTAAAAAAAAAACATCACTCTTCTCAAAAAATTATAATGTGGCAAAGCTATGCTTAATATTTATATCTGGAGAAATGTCAAAAATCTGCTTTATATTCAAAAAATAGTAGTAATGAAACTACCTTCTTTTTTGTATCATGGTTGGGTTGGCATCAGAGTTGTGAAAAATGCATTAATTTTTTATGCTTAGCAATTTAATGTAAACGAAAAAAATTAATGCATTAATTTTTGAAATTTATTGAAAGTGTGAATTTCAATGCATTAATTCCGAAGAAATAATGCTAATGAATTTTTTTTTTGCATTAACATTAAAATGTTTAAATGAATGCTATTGCAATTATTTATTGCATTAAAATTATAGCAAGCATTAAAAACCCATTAACTTATTTTATTTTGAAGTAAAAATTCTTTACTGACGTTGAGGGTAGAATTTTAAGGTCAAAAAAGATAGTGATTAACGTCCGTCACTATCTTTTTTGACCTGGTTTTCACTATGTCAAGTTCAATGGCATTTGTCGTTAAATAGGTAAAAACCCATTGTCAAATGGAATTAAAAAATTATTGATTGATTTAGATCAAGAGTAGGTCTTTAGTCGTGCACATGTGCATCAACATAAAAATCTACAAAAGCACACTGAGTTGCATGCACATTGCAGTTTTTTTCAGAAAACATCCAACAATGTTTAGAAGAATTTTTCTACTAATACACATAATATAATGAAGCTGAAAAACTATTAGTTATTATTCTAAGTCCTTCCAAAAGAGGTTCTTTACACATATTTCAATAGAAAAAAAATTTAATGATTTTTAATAATGCAAACAAGCAAAAGTATTAAAAAAATTTTTCATTAGCATTAGCTTGGATATTTTAAGGAAAACATATTTCATTAGCATTACATTTTTCAGAATTAATGCATTGAAATTTTTATTTGCATTAAATTTCAAAAATTAGTGCATTAATTTTTTACATTAACATTATTGCTTTAAATACCGTAATGCACTAAAAAATTCATGCATTTTTCACTACTCTGGTTGGCATCAGGGATGGAACTTCAAAACTTCAAAATGTGCCTAATGGTCTTCAAATGCCGAAAATAAGATGAAAGTGCCACAAAATTAATTGCTTTTAAGGCCTTTTATGTGCAATATATTTTTAGAAATAGTAATTGTTAAATACAATGAAGTAATATATTAATTAATAATTAACTACATTATTACAGTAAATCACTTTGATGAAAGATTCCTTAGATATACATGTGGCAACTCGGCTTCTGAAGGTCACAAGAAGTGCAACCCTGTAGGAAGTTGCTAGGAACCCAATCGATGATAATCACCGCTATTTTGATATTCCTTTGTCTCTTACTTTTGGGACGTGTTCTGAGCAGCAGCTTCATCTTTAGACTTATCCATCAGCATCAACGAATCCACGTAATTCCAGCATTTGAATTTGTTATTAGAGTTTGTAATATATTGTAAATAAACATCTTGCAAGATTATTAGTAAAGTAATATACGGCTTCTAAAGTGGTGACCCCGACGTGATCAGGAGGTTACGACACTCCTGCGTCTGGTCCTTCTGAAGTATCGTTTTCATATTTGTCTGAGCGTGAAATTGGCTAGTATGGAGGACGACGAGGCCTGGGTTGATGCAACAGCAGCTCCACGAATAAGTTCACCAAATATGACCGCAACTAACATTGAGTCGTATTTTATGTCGCTGGAATTTTGGTTTGCAGCTTCAGGTATAACTCAAGACTTGAAAAAGTTTAACATAGTTATGGCTCAGGTCCCACCGAGCAGGCTGCAGAGCTTCGATCAATCATCGACACGGTGCCCCAGCAAAATAGGTACGAGTATGTGAAGGCGAGGTTAACCTCACACTTTGCCGATAGCCAGCAAAGGCGTTTGCAGCGGGTTCTGTCAGATATGCCTTTGGGCGATATGAAGCCTAGTCAACTTTTTAACGAGATGCGTCGAGTCGCAGGCGATGCTCTGGGCGAAGCGGTTCTGTTGGATTTGTGGGCCATACGATTGCCGCCGCATGCACAAGCAGCAGTGATTGCAGTGAAAGGTAACGCCGTGGATAAAGGCGTCATCGCGGACGCAATTGTAGAGTCAATGGGCCTTCGCACCGTAAGTTCAGTAGACAAACCTACCGCCACTGCGAGCCCCGTTCACCACTCAGGCCAGGAATCTTCGTCAGCCTTGGAGGCCATTCAGCGAGAAATCGCGCAGCTCTCGCGTCGTTTTGAATCATTGCAAACGCGTGGCTATGATCCGCGAAGACGTTCACGTTCACGAGGCCGCCTCGAGACACCGCGACGACGAGCTAGGTGCAACTCGCCCAACGAAAGCTGCTGGTATTATCGGGAGTTTGGAGCCAATGCGCGCAAGTGTAGGACGCCCTGTGGTTACGTAAGGAAGAATTCAGGTCAATGATATTGCCCGGCTGAACCTGCAACCAGTACAGGCAAACAACTGGGAGCAGCCCGTTTCCGCCTTAAGGTATCAGACACTGCAACTAATATGAAATTCTTAATAGACACCGGCGCCGATGTGTCTGTGATACCAAAAGGCTCACGTTCAGTCAAGCATAAACCAACTACTATGAAACTGTTTGCCGCAAATGGCACCTCTATTAATGTGTACGGAGAAGCTATGTTGAAAGTTAATCTGGGCCTACGCCGCGAGTTTGTGTGGACGTTCCTGATCGCCAACGTTACTTGTGGAATAATAGGCGCAGACTTTATCAGGCATTTCGACCTACTCATAGATTTAAAAAGGAATCGAATCATTGATAATAGCACGTCTTTGCAATCCGTCGCCCAGGCAGTTACGGGTACAGGCTCATCAATCAAGTCATTCGACACCTCGTCTCCGTTCGCGGATTTATTAGGTGAATTTGCAGAAATAACACGACGTGCACAGCCCGGCGTTATCACAAATTCTTCGGTGGTGCATTACATTGAGACTCGCGGTCAACCCATCTTCGCTCGTCCCCGAGGCCTGTCGGCGGATAAACTACAAGCAGCGCGCGCTGAGTTTGAAAGCCTAATGAGACTAGGTGTATGTAGACCGTCACGAAGCAGTTGGGCCAGCCCTCTACACATGGTGCGAAAGGCAGATGGCAGATGGCGCCCCTGCGGAGACTACAGGACATTAAATGCCATCACAGTACCGGATAGGTACACGATACCTTATTTGCAGGATTTTACCAATATTTTGCGAGGTAAGACAATATTCTCGAAAGTCGTTTTGCAAAAAGCCTTTCACCAGGTGCCGGTGCACCCGGATGATATACCCAAGACTGCAATATCCACACCTTTCGGTTTATTCGAATTTGTCTACATGACCTTTGGTTTGCGCAATGCGGTAAAACTTTTCAACGGCTTATACACGAAGTTGTGCGCGGGTGGGACTTCGTGTTTGCTTATATGGATGACATCTGTATCGCGTCAACAAGTCCAGATGAACACAGATCGCATCTACGTCAGCTCTTTGAAAAACTTAAGCAATATAATTTAGCTATCAACGTGTAAAAGTCAGAGTTCGGTCGTAACCAAATAACCTTCCTCGGGCATTTAGTGTCATCCCAAGGTATTCGCCCCCTACAAGAGCGCGTCGAGGCCATACGCAAGCTCTAGAGGCCTTCAACGGTGAAGGATTTGAGAAAATTTTTAGCGGTAATAAACTTTTACCGACGATTTATTCCACACGCATACTAGCAATGTGCCCGGGAAACATCAAAAATGACCGATCGTCGCTCAACTGGTCAAATGAAACGATATCTGCATTTGAGCATTGCAAGCAACAGCTGGCGAATTCGGCCCTTCTCGCGCATCCGTCAAAGAATGCAGAGCTATCGCTTTGGGTAGATGCATCTGCCAGTGCGGCCGGTGCGGCACTACACCAGGTTGTCAACGGGGCTCTTGAGCCTCTGGGTTTGTTCTCAAGGAAGTTCGACAAAACACAGCTACGTTATAGCACTTACGATCGCGAGTTAACAGCGATTTATTTCGCCATGCGGCATTTTAGGTTTATGTTAGAAGGTAGAGTTTGTCACGTCTATACTGATCATAAGCCAATAACCTTCGCCTTTAGGCAAAAACCTGGACAAAGTTTCGGATCGGCAAGCGCGACAACTGGACTTTATCTCCCAAATAACGACAGATATTAGCCATGTCGAAGGGATACATAATGTCACAGCTGATTTTCTATCCCGCATCTCGTCCTTGGAAGTTACGCATATCAACTACAACGAATTGGCGGAAGACCAGAAAGCAGATGGAGAATTACAGCAGCTGCTTCACGATACTTCGAAAAGCTCCCTTAAACTGAAACTTTTTACAATTCCAGGTTCTTCTAAGCAGCTATATTGCGATTGTGCCACGAATTCTAATCGACCATTTGTGACGAAACATTTCCGGCGTAAAGTACTAGAATCTACCCACAATTTGTGTCACCCTGGTACGCGCGCTACAGTGAGATTGATGACGCAGCGATTCGTATGGCCAGGCATTCAGAAAGACAGCAGGGAGTTTGTTAAAGCGTGTGTCCGATGTCAACGTGCAAAGGTTCATCAGCATACAGTCGGATATCTAGATTTGGAGTTCCATGCGCAATAACATCCGACCAAGGACGTCAGTTTCAGTCCGCCCTTTTTGCTGAGCTCATGAGAACCTTGGGAATAACACATCTTAAAACCACTCCTTACCACCCACAGTCCAACGGGTTGGTAGAGAGATGGCATTGAACAATGAAAGCGGCCATATTGTGCCATAACCACGAGCGATGGGTTGAATATTTACCGACCATTTTGTTGGGTCTGCGTACGACGTACAAGCCTGATACTCAAGCATCACCTGCAGAGCTGGTGTACGGGACTACTCTTCGCATTCCTTCAGAGTTCTTTGTCGACAATGCAACAAATAGCACGGAATCAGAAGTTGTGGTTGAACTGCGAAATCTATGCGACAGGTAAGGGCACCTGACATAGCGTGGCATACGAGAGGCAAAGTGTTCATACATCCTGACTTGAGAAATTGTAAGAATGTATTCGTCAGGGACGATTCAATTAGACCATCCTTATCACACCCGTACACCGGCCCTTACAAAGTTGTAGATAGGTCAGACAAGCACTTCAAAATCAACGTCAACGGCAGAGAAACATCCATCTCAATCGACAGTCTGAAGCCGGAGTACATCTTAAAGGACGACGAGCCGTTGCAACTACCTGAAGCCCATTCTGCTCGGAATGTGTTACCAGAGCCCCCAATGGCGTCCAGTAAGTTAAATCGTCCAAAACGACATGTTGTTATTTCACCTCGCTATCGTTGAACCTGCGCTGGACTTAGGGGAGTACTGTGGCAACTCGGCTTCTGAATGTCACAAGAAGTGCAACGCTGTAGGAAGTGTCTAAGAACCCAATCGATGATAATCACCGCCATTTTAATATTCCTTTGTCTCTTACTTTTGGGACGTGTTCTGAGCAGCAGCTTCATCTTTAGACTTATCCATCAGCATCAACGAATCCACGTAATTCCAGCATTTGAATTTGTTATTAGAGTTTGTAATATATTGTAAATAAACATCTTGCAAAATTATTAGTAAAGTAATATACGGCTTCTAAATACATATGGGCGAATCCAGCGAAAAGTCTACCGCGGAAAACAAATTAAAAGTTCTTTATCTATTTATACTATAGGCCGATTTGACTGCTTTTTATAATATATACTGGTTATGTGAGCAGAAACATTTTTGCCAAAAATGGTCTCTTTAAGTGGCACTAGGGTCTAGATATTTTGAATAACTGTATTTATGCTCTGATTTGTTTCACATTTGGCATGTTTAGTTTAAACGTAGATTTGCAAAAAATTAAACCGCTGGTGTCGCTCATGTCAAAATAAAAAGTACGTTTCACATAAAACGCATGTTTTCTTCCCGTTAAAAATTCTGTCAAGAACAATATTAACAAAACTTTTGACATGCAAATTTTAGTAACGTAACGCCAGGTAACGTCACGGCAGATAATTCAGCTGATTAAACATAAAGCCGAAAAGATTTTTACATTTCAAAACTTGGAAAATTAACCCTAAACATAGCCAATATTACTACAAAAACTTTTATTTAAAAAGTCTTTTCCAATTCGCAGAGTTTTAAATGAACTATATTTTCATAAATAACACTGTGAGACAAATGGTAGGTGGTCTTTTTTTGACCAAACTCGAGAACCACTAGTCCGATTTTGCTCAAACAAATTTAAAAAAATTAAAAATTACAATTCCTTTAATCTGTTCATATAACGTTTTTCTATATAATCAACAGTTTTCAAAAAATTTAATATTTTAGGCAAAAAATATTTTTTTTCTTCATACATTTATTTTTACCGGCAAAACCAAAGGTGACAATTTCCCCTATATGATAGTTATATATATATCTCGATTCCTAGACGTGACCCAGCGAAACGCCGGGACACGTATAACTTGTTTTTGACCGATATAACATTTCCCGTTGGTTTCATCCCATCCCGATTTTGACTATCGCATAGTGTAATTAATGAAAAAAATTGTTCATGAAAATAATTGTGAAATATTATATTTAAACAAGGTGTACACTTACACTGACTGTATATCAGATTATCGAAACTAAATCGGGATTTACTTGGGCGTCATTTTGACCTATTGGATTTTGAAGATTATGTGATGGTAAGAAAAAAAAGGTCATGTGAAGTTTTTCCTTACAGCGGTGGGTGGAGGATCCACAGGCTTCCAAAAATGTAAAAAAAAACAGTTACATGGATTTACTCGAGCGCGTCAGATTTCCACAAGGGATGTTAAATGGGCCCGAATGAATGAAAAAAATCGCCATTTGGAGGGGTTTTCTTAATCTGACGGTTTAAAAAAGTAATTTCGTTTCTGAGATGCACAGTGAACCAAACATATATTATTGTAAACACTTATTATTTTATCCGTGCAACTATCATGCAGCAAGTCCGGTTCGACTTGGTCGTCAATTTCTTCTACATTTTTCCCATCTGTAACAAGAAGTAATTGACAATATTTTTTTACATATTAAATGAAAAGTGTGTTCAGGTATTATACCTGAATCCCCTAGAACAACAAATTTTTGACAAGAATATGATCCATACAACACACAAAACCCATTTCCACTCATCCTGAATCACAAAATTTAGTTTGTAAAATTTCAAAGGTTATATTTCATGTAACACCATGAGTGCTTTGATAACCCATGATTGCGTGATGGCGGACGGAAAGGAGTAAGGGGACACATAGTCCATTGATACAATATAAAGAGTGAGCAAGAAAGGAGCGGAGTTCCAAATTTCTTCATGTATAAGAAAACTTAAGGTTGCCAATTCCAAATTAACTGAAAAATGCGTGTTTGTCTTACATACAAATTCTTATGTCTAGTGATTTTAG